GTATATAGGTGACAATGGTGTCAATAAAAACCAGTTGAGAGTGAAGCGCCTGTCCTGTCGTCCGTGTTTCTTTATTGTCCTCGTTTGTTCGCGCTTTTTAACCTTTTATTCAATACCAGGAAACATGTATATTGTTTTAAGTTTTTTGTTGTGCACAGTACACTCATAGTGCTTGGTTAGGTTTGTTGGGAATAAAAATAGGCATTTGACAGGATACATCTGAAAGACACAGCAGTTGAAAAGTATGTATATTGGTACAAAGGTGTGTCTGTAAGCAGTATGTGACTGGGTATTTGGAATATGAATCGGCAATTTACTGGACACGATGGAGGCCTATCTGCACTTGTACTAGTATTTGGCAAATATACAGGGTACTCTTTTAGGTTTTACAGATTTGCTTTAGAAAAGCTGTGAATGCTACACTAAGGCGGTCTGTGCAGGAGAGTTATACAGCCAGGAGGACATAACATAGACGCTAATCATCCCAATGAGTCTAAGAAATAACTGAAATTTGTTAATGAAAAGATAAATATATGGTTCCAACTAGAAACCTGCTGCGCATGGGAGTGGGAAGCACGATGGTGCAAAAAAGTTACCAATCGAGCAAAAGGTGTAAAGCTAGTGGTGCAAAAGCACGGATAAAATTACCATCCGCATTTCTACACCGCAGGCCTTGCGCCTGTTGCACGAGTGCCAACTTTAGCCCCTCCCTTCCAACATGCGCCTTTCTAAAATTTACTAATGTAGTGGTTTTCGGCGATGCTCAGAAAGCCTCCGATTGGAGCCATATGATAATTTTCACTAATTATCTTTAAAGATTAATTACCCATTTGAGTTAATTATTCAACTTGTCGAAATGGTTAGCCCCCTATATTACATCCTCCTAGCCGTATAACTCATCTGCACAGACCGCATTGCACATCTTTCACCGTTTTTTTTTTTTTTTTTATTTTTTTTTAATGTGAAAGCATTAACTGCTCTATGGAGCGAAGCAGCGTTATCAGCTTTCCAAGCCGTGTGCCAAACGGCACCTAAATTCCCCTGTCCTAATGGAGCGAAGCCTGTAGTCTGTGGCAGCGATTTGATGGATAGGTTCCCATTGGCTGGTGCGCGTCATAGTTTAAAAGAACAAGGCTCCCACTGGCTGGCGCACGTCATAGTTTCATAGAACGAGGCTCCCATTGGCTGGCGCGCGTCATAGTTTCATAGAACGAGGCTCCCGTTGGCTGACACGCGTCATAGTTTCATAGAACGAGGCTCCCATTGGCTGGCGCGCGTCATAGTTTCATAGAACGAGGCTCCCATTGGCTGGCGCGCGTCATAGTTTCATAGAACGAGGCTCCCATTGGCTGGCGCACATCATAGTTTCATAGAACGAGGCTCCCATTGGCTGGTGCGCGTCATAGTTTAATAGAACGAGGCTCCCATTGGCTGGCGCGTGTCATAGTTTCATAGAACGAGGCTCCCATTGGCTGGCGCGCGTCATAGTTTAATAGAACGAGGCTCCCATTGGCTGGCGCGCGTCAATAGTTTCATAGAACGAGGCTCCCATTGGCTGGCGCGCGTCATAGTTCCATAGAACGAGGCTCCCATTGACTGGCGCGCGTCATAGTTTCATAGAACGAGGCTCCCATTGGCTGGCGCGCGTCATAGTTTTATAGAACGAGGCTCCCATTGGCTGGCGCGCGTCATCGTTTCATAGAACGAGGCTCCCATTGGCTGGCGCGCGTCATAGTTTCATAGAACGAGGCATTGGCTGGCGCGCGTCATAGTTTAATAGAATGAGGCTCCCATTGGCTGGCACGCGTCATAGTTTCATAGAACGAGGCTCCCATTGGCTGGCACGCGTCATAGTTTCATAGAACGAGGCTCCCATTGGCTGGCGCGCGTCATAGTTTAATAGAACGAGGCTCCCATTGGCTGGCGCACGTCATAGTTTCATAGAACGAGGGTCCCATTGGCTGGTGCGCGTCATAGTTTAATAGAACGAGGCTCCCATTGGCTGGCGCGCGTCATAGTTTCATAGAACGAGGCTCCCATTGGCTGGCGTGCGTCATAGTTCCATAGAACGAGGCTCTCATTGGCTGGCGCGCGTCATAGTTTCATAGAACGAGGCTCCCATTGGCTGGCGCGCGTCATAGTTTTATAGAACGAGGCTCCCATTGGCTGGCGCGCGTCATCGTTTCATAGAACGAGGCTCCCATTGGCTGGCGCGCGTCATAGTTTCATAGAACGAGGCATTGGCTGGCGCGCGTCATAGTTTAATAGAATGAGGCTCCCATTGGCTGGCACGCGTCATAGTTTCATAGAACGAGGCTCCCATTGGCTGGCACGCGTCATAGTTTCATAGAACGAGGCTCCCATTGGCTGGCGTGCGTCATAGTTTAATAGAACGAGGCTCCCATTGGCTGGCGCGCGTCATAGTTTCATAGAACGAGGCTCCCATTGGCTGGCGCACGTCATAGTTTCATAGAACAAGGCTCCAATTGGCTGCCGCGCGTCATAGTTTAATAGAATGAGGCTCCCATTGGCTTGCACGCGTCATAGTTTCATAGAACAAGGCTCCCATTGGCTGGCACGCGTCATAGTTTCATAGAACGAGGCTCCCATTGGCTGGCACGCGTCATAGTTTCATAAAACGAGGCTCCCATTGGCTGGCGCGCGTCATAGTTTCATAGAACGAGGCTCCCATTGGCTGGCGCGCGTCATAGTTTCATAGAACGAGGCTCCCATTGGCTGGCGTGCGTAATAGTTTAATAGAATGAGGCTCCCATTGGCTGGCGCGCGTCATAGTTTAATAGAACGAGGCTCCCATTGGCTGGTGCGCGTCATAGTTTAATAGAACGAGGCTCCCATTGGCTGGTGCGCGTCATAGTTTCATAGAACGAGGCTCCCATTGGCTGGCGCACGTCATAGTTTCATAGAACGAGGCTCCCATTGGCTGGCGCGCGTCATAGTTTAATAGAACGAGGCTCCCATTGGCTGGTGCGCGTCATAGTTTAATAGAACGAGGCTCCCATTGGCTGGCGCGCGTCATAGTTTACTAGAACGAGGCTCCCATTGGCTGGTGCGCGTCATAGTTTAATAGAATGAGGCTCCCATTGGCTGGCACGCGTCATAGTTTCATAGAACGAGGCTCCCATTGGCTAGCACGCGTCATAGTTTCATAGAACGAGGCTCCCATTGGCTGGCGCGCGTCATAGTTTAATAGAATGAGGCTCCCATTGGCTGGTGCGCGTCATAGTTTGATAGAACGAGGCTCCCATTGGCTGGCGCGCGTCATAGTTTAATAGAATGAGGCTCCCATTGGCTGGCACGCGTCATAGTTTTATAGAACGAGGCTCCCATTGGCTGGCGCGCGTCATAGTTTAATAGAACGAGGCTCCCATTGGCTGGCGCGCATCATAGTTTCATAGAACGAGGCTCCCATTGGCTGGCGCGCGTCATAGTTTTATAGAACGAGGCTCCCATTGGCTGGCACGCGTCATAGTTTCATAGAACGAGGCTCCCATTGGCCGGCGCGCGTCATAGTTTAATAGAATGAGGCTCCCATTGGCTGGCACGCGTCATAGTTTCATAGAACGAGGCTCCCATTGGCTGGCACGCGTCATAGTTTCATAGAACGAGGCTCCCATTGGCTGGCGCACGTCATAGTTCAATAGAATGAGGCTCCCATTGGCTGGCACGCGTCATAGTTTCATAGAACGAGGCTCCCATTGGCTGGCACGCGTCATAGTTTAATAGAATGAGGCTCCCATTGGCTGGCGCGCGTCATAGTTTAATAGAATGAGGCTCCCATTGGCTGGCACGCGTCATAGTTTCATAGAACGAGGCTCCCATTGGCTGGCGCGCGTCATAGTTTCATAGAACGAGGCTCCCATTGGCTGGCGCGCGTCGCAGTTTCATAGACAGGGCTCCCATTGGCTGGTGCGCGTCATAGTTTAATAGAACGAGGCTCCCATTGGCTGGCGCGCGTCATAGTTTCATAGAACGAGGCTCCCATTGGCTGGCGCGCGTCATAGTTTAATAGAATGAGGCTCCCATTGGCTGGCACGCGTCATAGTTTCATAGAACGAGGCTCCCATTGGCTGGCACGCGTCAGTTTCAAAGAACGAGGCTCCCATTGGCTGGCGCGCGTCATAGTTTCATAGAACGAGGCTCCCATTGGCTGGCGCACGTCATAGTTTCATAGAACGAGGCTCCCATTGGCTGGCGCGCGTCGCAGTTTCATAGAACGACGCTCCCATTGGCTGGTGCGCGTCATAGTTTAATAGAACGAGGCTCCCATTGGCTTGCGCGCGTCATAGTTTCATAGAACGAGGCTCCCATTGGCTAGCGCGCGTCTTAGTTTCATAGAACGAGGCTCCCATTGGCTGGCGCGCGTCGCAGTTTCAAGGAATGCCGCCCCATGGCGCTGCGGACCCCGCGCCGGCAGCGTGGCGGTAAAAGGAACACTGTCGCATCTCGCCCGGTCGCATTTGCTCCTCTCAACACCGACGAACATGGCGGCACCTCAAGCATCTACATTATCGACGGGTGCAACCTTGGCAGTAGAGCAACCTGCACGTCCACGCAAGTACACCCCAGATGAACTAAGGGAGCAGAATAACGCAGCACGAGTGAAGAGGCGGGCAGCGAAATCTACCATCGTTGTCAAGTCTCTAAATACATGGCGGGCGGAACGAGCAGTGGCGCAACATGCTAGGAGACAGAACAAAGCCTTTCGAAAGCGTGATGTGAAAGCGTATCGCGATTCAAAGCGTGTCAGGCAGCAAGAGGACGAGGCCCTTCGACAACGCGAGGCGGAAGCAATACATAGCAGGCGGCATGCTTTCGCATTCACAGCTCATCAAGTGCCTAGGTGTCTCTTATCTATTCAAATTTAAATTAAACAGCCTGTATCGCTTGAAGCATGCAGGTTCAGTCTGCACCATAAAAAGACGACCTCAAATTTCACTTTTTACTGTTGAAGAATGCAATACTAACGGCAAACAACTGACCTTGCAGCTCTCCAACGTCGTCTCCAAGGCAGTCTTCTGTATTTTGTGCTGCGCCGTCTCTGCCTGCAGAGAGGCGCACCGCTGGACCAGGCAAAAGAGAAGAGAGTGCAGAAATCGTGCTTCCAAATGTCACCGTGCCAAAAACAGGGAGTTGAGGATGGATATACTGGCTTACTTGCTTCAAAGGTTCCTGCTCCTGCAGAGCATTGCAGAGCTCCTGTTCGTACCGCGTACAGTCCGCCCTTAAAGACTGGGACAGGATGTTAAGCTCTGCCACCTTTTTGTTCAGGCAGCCATTATGTGAAACCATAGGGTTAAGGAACTGTAGATACAAGTGTACAAAGTGTCTAATCACCAGAACGAGAAAATTATGATGAGCACAGCGATCACTAACTAGCAGCACAGGTGTCGGCAATGAGCACATGTAGCGGCATTACAGGTTCACAAATAGGTCACTGTGCATGCCCAGTGCCAACATGTGTGCAACTTTGTGATAAACGGCACTTGCATAGCTTAGACAATAAAACAGTGTGCATTTGCTAAGGAAAGAAGAAAAAAAAGGTCTTAAGCCACTGTTTGCACTACGAGTTTAATTTTATATCTTTGGCATCTACATCTCCAAGAAACCATTTAAAATCCCCATCCATCTCAGCGTGTAGGATCTTTAGCAGCATGCCTTTTTAACTGACATGTATGCAGAAGAGCACACATAATAATTGTTGATTTTCATCATTCCATCGCATTATCTACCTAGTCACAAAAAACATTTGATAAGTATAGAGATATGGAAAAGCACCAGTTCTCTTCATACTGGGGGAAGGGGAACCAATGAATGCACCTTTACTGAAAACTATAGGCAGAATCAGTGGCCATTTACAAAGTGGTGCATAAAACTGCCAGAAAGCCTGGAACCCCAAAAACCAATGAAGAAAAAATAAAGCAATCCCTGCTCCTTTTTTCTGTCAGACTATTGTTAACAACCTCATTTTTGCGAGAACCTAACTTCATGATTTGAAATATATTGAAAGACATTGATCACGCGAATATATCACCCCATGATCTCGAAAACATGGCACGCAAGTCCCAATCGTGAAATATCGTTCTCCATAGCAAAATGGACAATTGGGCGAGTTGGTAAGAGTTCATAATTGAACTCTTACCAACTCGCCTGTCCTGTGTTTTCTCCTCTGTCTGTCCTTGTCCCAGTCGCGCTGTAAATAATTATGAATCATTCTCCATAAATTTATTCCCCAAACACGTCCATCAAAAAAATTCATGAAATATTGAGCCCGCAAAAATAAGGTTGTTTACAGTATGTGTTTCCCTTTCTACTCCTACTACAGTTGCAGGTTCCAAGATACACTACAAGCTGTCATCTACACAGAGCTTCCTGAACGTTACGCATGGTGGCATATTCCTCCAGATTCTTTCTGAGCACTTACCCTTCCTTGTGTTGCAGTTAAAAACTCCACAGATTTGAGCTTCTGAAGAGAAAGCCCAGCAAAGCTCAAGAGGTTGTGAATTTAGATCCAACCACTGGCAATTTGTTTTTGGCAAACTCCCTAATCCAAATATTCTGTCTGTCAGCCCTTGCCTGCCAGTTTAAATTTAGCGGAGAAATTGACGTCACAAGATCGAAGTCACATGACTTATACACCAATTCAGTCTCCATGCTAAACCTACCAAGGGAAATTGACGTCATGTGGCCTGACGTCACGAGACCTACATCACCGCCACTAGATCAAGCTCAGTTGACAAGCTTCCTAGAATGCTTGGTCTGGCTTGCTACAAACAGCGTCTCAGCTGAGACTGGGTGCAAGAAAGCACTGCCAAAGCCAGCGCACGAGCTGAGCGGGGACTCAAACCGCGTCTTAAGACGCTTGCGCACCCCAGCCTTTGCAGTGCTCTCTTTCACCCGGTCTCAGCTGAGACGCTGTTTCCAGCAAGCAGGCCCTGGCACCTTTTCGTGGCGCGTGCGCCCGGTGGCGCTTGCTACACTATTAGCCCACCCTACGGACAGACATGGCAGAACAGGTGGAACGTCAGATGCATGTTACCTTTTGTGGAAAGCGATTCAATTTTGGTTTTTATGATGAACATAGAGTTTGTGACAAAGTTGGCGCAAAAACAGTGTCGTTCGAGAACCGTCGTTTCCTGTTGCCCGTGAAGGCGTTGACGCTGGTGCCGCTAGGAACACTATCCGCCCACACTTGATCGAATGCAGGCAACAAAAAGAACCGTTTTCGAACGCCGCTTTTCTGTAGAGCTTGTCAACCAATAGAGCTAAGAACATTGACCTATATACCAATTTATTTCCCCCCCTAAATATAGTAGGAAAATTGATGTCACATGATCTCACTTCAGGTGACCTACCGTAAAATTCCAAGAAATGCCCCACTGCCGAAAGGTAACCCACCCTATTTTTGGCATGATTTGCTTTTTTTTTAATCTATATATATATATTTACTTGTTTTGTAATCATAGTGATTAGATCAATGATGACCTTGGCGTAAACACATCTAGTTAGTTGGTTTCTGAGATATCTAAAAAAAAGTGTTGCGGTATATCTCACAAAAAAGGCGTGTCGCGATAAAAGGTAACGTACGTGACCGTAATTTTGGTTTTCTAGGATGCTTTAGATGTGTAGATTGAGCTCGCACCACAAAAAGATGATCCCAAATACACTCTAGTGCCCCTTCAAGTAGGCCATAGACTTTCTATTATTTATTTATAATAGCGAGTTCGTTTCACACGCACTGGCACCGTTCGAGTTCTCTCCCAGAATGCATCGCACTCTCAGACTGTTGCACGGAAAACTGGACTCAAACGAACTCGCCAAATGCACCGAGTGCAGAAGACTGATTCTGCCGCCATCTATGTTGTAGAAAAGGTACCGACTTTAAACCGAAACTAGCGCCTTTCTGATCGGAGTAATGCGTGGGAATGCGAGAATGCAGTCGCTACCAACGTTTATCTAGGGACGTTGGTCGCTGCAACCTGTAGTTTATAGTTGCGATGACTTCAAGCAGCTCGGCTGCCGCAGAGATAGTTACAGACGGCGTAAATTTCCGCAACCAGCTGTCTACAAAGCAGCTGGTTGCGATCTTTCAATCCTTATAACCGTTTACACTGAAGAAACCTGATGATGCTGTCCGAGCACAAGCATGATCCGTTTGAACATGGTATTATGCGTGAACCGCTGAAAGGGTGCGGCTTAAAACTAGCCTGTTGGAATATCCAGCAAAACTGGGACTTTCTATTTGGATCGTCATTATAGGTGGATCAGATATTAGCCTTGGTGAGGGCGTCGAGAACGAGAACATTCTCGAACAAAATACGACGGGGCAAGTTAGCTGACGTAGGTAAATGTTAAACATGATGATGTTGCCCAATCCTCGGGTAAAGTTACCATCTTTAGCTTTCTCTGATGCTTATTGAGCAGTCGGAGGTTTCTGCTGGGGGAGCTTTGTCGACAAATGTTAAATTTTTTCCCCGCACACGGATGGTGATAGATATCTCGGGGGCCGCTGTTACGTTTGTTCTGAGCATTCCTTTACACACTGGTATATTTCAGCGTTTGTACGGCAACAGAGCGATCTAAAACCTGCAAATAAATCACGGGTTGTCAATTGCTTTCTTCGGGAAACAGCAGACGCTCACAATTCAAGCTCGCGTTTGATTTCGTGGCCCGCGGGACGCGATTTCTATCAGAAAATCTACTTTTTTTCCGTTCGGTTCCGGGACATATCGTAGCAGACGAACCCTCGTCGTCTGCTCCCGCTCCTCGCCGGCCCCGCCGGAGCGAGGCATGACGGGATTGCATTTTGGCGCACTCCCGATTTTCTCGGTGCAGCGAGTGCACGCACGCGTGGGGTGTCAGCGCTGAAACGAACTCGGAGAGTGCAACCACTCGTGGAGTGCCGGCCGAAACGAACCCGTTCCACGCTGCGAGTGGGCACGCGTGGGCACGAGTGCCGTGAAACGAACTCGCTATAAGAAAATTCGGCAGATGTTTATCAATGTTTATTTATTTTTCAAATATCGATGCATTTTCGTGACTAAGGACGGACGCTAAAGATGGTGATTATCTATGAAAACTCTCGTGAAAAACGTTTAAGTTTAAGCGGGGAGAGTCTGGACAAAAACAGTCCTAGCTGGTGCATAAATTTTCAGAAATTGGTGATCTTAGCAACAAATGTCTATTGGCGATTTTCGTTTAAAACCTGAAAGACTACAGCCTATACGTAAGCAAACACACATACACACAAATAGTTAACATCGGTGCAAAAAAGGATATCATCGTTGACCTTCTTGTACTTCTCGATAAGCAAGCTGAAATACAAAAACGAAAAGGAAGTCAAAATGTCTCACACAAATGTCGTCAGCCATGTTTGCCCTTTAGCAAAAACAAGTGGATAAACAAGCTTCTTTGTTCCTCTTTTTAAGTGACATGACTGACATTTTCAGTGTGGCTTCCCATGGGAGTTGATACACAGTGTATGCTGCCAAGTGCTGCCAAGCGACAAAGCAAATGGCACCAGGAATCGGAGCCTCATGCTACTTCATCTTTCTACAAGCTTTTTGGTTGTGTGGCACATAAAGCACAAAGCAATCTATGCATGTTTGGATAGTCGAACCTCATTAATTCAAACTCTCTTCATTCAAACTTACGGATAATTCAATCTAACATGCTGCTCCCATCCTATGCGTATCTATGGGAGGAAACTCCCAGTAATTCAAACTTCGCTTTATTCAAACAAAATTTCGGTCCCCCTCGAGTTTAAATTAACGAAATTTGACTGTTGTTACATTCTTACAAAAGTTTGGAGGGGGATATTGAGGACTACCTAAAATGGCAATTTCGTGTTCCAGGACCCATACAAATCTTGTACTGCAAAACCCGTGGAGATGCCTTACCCCTGAAAGGTAACCCATCGCTATTTTTGATTTGCTATTTTCTTCTAAACACCGAAGATAACCCACTGCTAGTGCTCGTAGTGTTCGGATCAATGATGACCTTGGCGTAAATGCGTCTAGGTAGCTATTCATTCATTCATTCATTCATTTGTTTATTTTCTGTGCTCATGAACAGCTTGACACCTTGGTAATGATGCACAACAAAATGTTCACAGGCTAGTTACAAAAGTCTTAAAAGCTACAAAATTTGGGTTAAAAACATCAATACTTGCTCCCCTGAGGGTATTGTAGAAGTGTTGAATACGGGTCATGGGACTGGTTTGGATGATGTGATTAACATGGACAGTTGGAGAAACTCGCAAAACTCGACTCAGAACGTGAATATTAATAGCAGATGTGAAATCTGGGCAATCAATTATACCATGAATTATATTTATACAAGAAAACAAGATCGCACTCACGCCGTCTGGAACTCAAAGTAGGGCATTTGCATCGTTCCAAGAGCCTCGCATAAGAATAATAAACAGTATGACCAATGTAATGATTGTAAACAATTCGAAAAAAACGCTTTTGAACATTTTCAATGGCATCTCTTGGCTCGTAGCACTAATACAATTCCAGACTGCAGAGGAAAACTCCAACTTGGTCTGGATTAACGAGAAATATAACCAAAAAATACAGGTTGATATGGAGAACTCATGCGTGATTCTAGAAATTACTCCCAGCTTACGCAAAGAGCCATTTATAAGGTTGTTAACATGTACAGTAAAGTATAACGAAGAGTCTATATATACACCAAGATCACGCGTGCACTCGACTCTTTGCAGAGGATCATTGCCAATCTGGAAACAAAAGTTAATTTTTTCTACCTTTCTAGACAAAGACATAACGGGTTTAAAAGGATTGAGCGTTAGCATGTTCTGACGACACAAACTGCACACACGCCTAACATCCTTTGTAAGTTTTTCACAGTCTTCCAAGGTTATGATCTGCCTCAACAACTTGACATCATCTGCATATTGCAAGACGACCGAATTAAGAATGATCGAGCTCAAATCATTAATAAAAACATTGAAAGATCGGCCCAAGTATGGAGCCTTGTGGCACACCCGAAGAAAAAACATAAGGTACTCACGCCGTAGGATTCTAGTTTGTGTGCAAGGGGCGAATGGTCTACCAGGCCAAAAGCCTTAGAGAGATCAAAATATACAATGTCTACCTGTCCACGTTGACACACAATAGGCGAAACAAAATTTGAAAAAATACACCAGATTTGTCTCAACAGACCTTACCCGCATGAAGCCGTGTGTGAACGGCTTATCTTATGCTTAAAAAAGTTTGAAATGCGCTCAAATAAAACAATTTCATAGACCTTAGCAAAGGGAGATAGTAACGACACAGGTCTGTAATTTTTTACGTCATCCATTCTGCCATTCTTATGTACTGGCACAGTAATAGAGCACTTCCACAGGGAAGGAAATGTAAGGCTCTGCAACGACAAGTTAAAAATATGCGTTAAGACGGGCGCAAAAATAGAGGAGCATCCTTTAACAATGAAGCTTGGAATGCCGTCAAATGCAACTGATAACTTTGGCTTCAGTTTCCTGATAGCAAGTTCAATATCAGTAATTTCAAAAGATAGAAGTGACAGGTGATCACTGGCATTATCGCTGACGCCATGCACAGGCAGTCCAGTTTGACCGCAAGAATAAACCGAAGAAAACTAACTCGCGAATGCATTTGACACATCTTCGGGCTCAGGCAGCACATCATCTAACGAGTCAGCTATGTTTATTGATGACGAAGTTGTAGTTGTGCGATCCTTTACATATTGCCAGAAAAGCATTGGGTCACGATTTAAGCTGCACTCTACTGACTCATGGCATTATATTTTATCACGCTTCAACAATGTCTTCAACAACGCGACTCAGAAAATTTTAGGTACCAAAAAACAGATTTCGCAACTTTATATTTCCTATGATAATGCAATTTTTTTCTTAGAACTGATCTAAGCTCCTTGGAGTACCGGAGCAGATAACGACTTGTGTAAGGATGCCTTTTTGGGCACGGAACTTTCAAGTGCATCTACGATATAGTTTGTGAACAGTTCAACGGCACGATTTACATCGGTCATACTATCTATGGAAGCCCAATCTGCATTATCTAAACAATGATAAAGGCCAAAGTAATCGCCTCTTGAGAAAGCAAGCGAATCACGGTTTTTGTGCTTTACTTTCCCCACAAAAATCATAAAGGAAGCAGAAAAAGGAATGTGTCAAACACCCGGTAAAACAAGCGGATTGGAAACAGACATCAAGCTGTCGATAGGAAAGTTGGCCAAGGCCAGATCGAGCACATGTCCTGCTGAGTTATGAAGATTGTCCATTTGGGTAAATCCGAGAAGGTTAACAAATGAAAAAAGGGCATTCGCTTTAAATGATGCACTATGAGCAGACAGTACAGGACGTACCAAATTCCAGTTTATTTCAAAAATATTGAAATCACCAAGTATGAGTATACGATGTTGATCCACATCCAATTTATCCCCTAGCATACCTAATTGGTCAGAAAACTTAGATCCGTTGACATTAGGAGGAAAATAAAAAGTGCCTGTAAGTAAGCTATTGTTATCACGAAGACGTATTTCAATCCAAACGGACTCACACTCGAATTCGAGATCAAACCGGCGAATAGCCCCTAAATGTTTCTTGACTGCTATTAGTACTCCACCACCGAATTTAACGAAAAGTTTTTCGTGATCTCGATCCCCACGAGACACTGTGTATTCGGGAGGGAAATAGTCCAGGGACGCAAATGAGCTATTTAACCAAGTTTCACTTAAAGAAATGATATTGTAATCACCTAGAACAACGTTATGAAAAAAAATAGGAGCCTTCGTACGAAGGGCGCGGACGTTTGATAAAGCGCTTATAAGCAATGCTCGCCCATAGCTTATAAGCAATGCTCGCTTATAAGCTATGGAAGCTTATAAGCAAGCATTGCTGACTGGGAGGTACAGTCATTGCAGTAGGGTGAAGACCTGGGCACGCTGTTTTTAATTCTTCAACAGTCATCTTTGCTCCATTGCTCCTCGCCGCGACAACATGTTTGACAGACACATAGTGGTAATCGAAAAACAGCTTTTTTTTTTTTTTACTTTTTTGATTGCACATAGAAAGCTTATATTCCTTATTTTCACCCAATTTTCTCTCGATTTAGGTGGGCTATCTGTCGGGATATTACATACATAAATAATGAAATGATTATATTTAAAGGGGTTATAAAAAAAATTAACTGCCGATTTTTTAAAAATGTTTATTGAACTGCAAAGACGTTGATTCTCGAGTATAAGTACTCTTGCCGTCGTTTAACCGAACTGTACTTCACAAGAAGCCTGCTTGTGTGTATTCAAGTAATGTTTGGCGTATGTAACCCCCCCGCTGTAATGCCGAAAGGCACTGCGGGTATTGGATAAATAAATAAATAAATAATTAATTACAGCAAAATACTGCCTCTGCATTTAATAAAGCACGTTTACAAATTGTGTTTTTTGGACTGTCTAAAACGACCATGTGACGCCATACAGCAGCACGAGCAACAAAACGTCGCGGTAGCTATTTAAAAAGGTAGAACAGATATTAAACTTTTTTTTTAATCTTCAAATAATAAATTGGGAACGATAAAAGCATCGAGTTATTTACTGGCACTCTGTATTAGTTGGATGCAACCACATCACGTGACTACAATAGAGTTTCGGTTTCAAACACCTCCGGGTCTTCTGTCAATTGATTATCGTCGCAACCATGCCGCTTGTCCCGTTGCGGCTCCCATTCGTCGTGGAATGCGGTTGTGGAACGCAATTGTAAATGATAATTTTAATAAAACAAAGTGAAGCAATAAAAAATTACAATCCCAAGAGGATTCGAAATTAGCAAGGGACGTGCAAGACCTTTTCGACTATCAGCACATCTGTGTTTAAGCCGTTTATTTTCGTGGGTGTAGTCCTAGAACGTTGCACTGGTAGTTTTCCCACGACCAGATTTCTGGTCGCAAGTTTTTCATTCATTTTTCTTTATCGCGATCTTCCTCGGCAGTAAATCGACATGCCGCTTCTCAAGAACGCAAAGGCAACTCATTTCACTTATACTTCCGGCCCCCTTGTCCTTTCTCTGGGAGCAGATCAGCAACTTTCTGGTCGAAGCAAGAATGTATTTGCGGCTCGCCACTTGACAGTTGTACCAGGACGAGGCTCGACAGATTGAAGTTGCGAGTAATTTCCTCTGTAGCACAATGTACGGCAGCACAAACAACATGCGGTGTCGGCGTACGGCTCGAAACCTAAATTCGATGTTCTGGCTTCACCCATCAAGTCCAGTCTACGCTGCCATCTTGTACAGGCAACAAAAATTCTTTGTGGGTAATCTGTTATGGCACATTTGTAGAACCTGAGAGGAAAGCTTCTCAAGAAACTGAAACTATCTTTTTTATGCTAGAAAACAAATCCGGACAACTACAAACAAATCAATCTAGGTTATATAATGAAGGAGAAGGATTCCAAAAAGACATAGCTCGGAATTTCGGAAAAATGTTTCACGACCCCTTTGATGTGCCTCGGAGTAAAGCTTAATGGAATTCCCAAATCCATCTGTTGTTTCGTCTATTGTCTGTATGGCCTAAAATTGCAGCATCCGGTCTATTTTTCTATCCACACAAGTTTTGTTTCTGTGCACGCTAGCATTCAATTTCTAACACTTTGGCTTCATTTGTCCAAGGCCAAAATACTACAGTAAAACCTCGTTATAACAAAATGGGATATAACAAACTAATGGATATAACAAAGCAATCATAATTCCCCTTGCTTGAATAGTTGGAAGAAATGGACATTGGCTATAACAAACAAATGGTTATAACGAAATAATTACGACCACCCCTTCAACTTCTTTATAATGAGGTTTTACTGTACTATAAAACAAAGTGTACTAAAAAACTGAAGAACTCGACCAGACTCTCCTAACGCCCTGCACCATAGTGACAGTGGTAACACAGAATGCATCGAGTGCTGCTTCGCAGCGATGTTTTGGAGACAAACTTGGTACATCCGTGAGCAATATGAAGGTGAACAGCCCTCTTCTTGTTTTTGAAGCTCCTGCAAGTTTTGGAACAAGCTCTGTTCCAGAAGAGGGCTAGAACGCAAAGTTTAGACCCCAAGCCACATACCATTTGAGACGTTGAGAGTTAATACAGCTTTAGGAAGCCGTAAAACACGCAAGAAACCAGGTAAGGTGTTCACCTTCATATTGCCCGGCCGGTGTACACATGTTCCGTGCCTCGACGGAGCGAACGTCGTCAGCGTTCGCTCCGTCGAGGCACGGAAAATGTGTACCAAGTAAACATTTGCTGTTCAATTAGTTGGCGCATATTTTAAATTTATACTTCTTTTGTAAGCATTCACCTTGCATATCGACATGTTAAAATATGTGTGCATAAAGGGTCTCACCTTGTATCGAAGATCTTCCTTTTTAATGAGGCATACACCTAAAAAACAAGCAAACCATTTTTATTAATATTTTTCTTTTTTTTGCCACTCATTATAAAAGGAATTTCTTAAAATGGAATAGACACGTTTCACAAATGCACTCCCCGATGGTGGGCTTTTTGTCAGTTTCGATTTGCACAGCATTATGGGATAGCAAATCACCATGTTTCGGTCAGCTTCCTCCACGATCAGGTGTAGCCCTATCGTGCTGTTGCATCGCAACATTGTGTTGTCATTTTATGATATTTTGCCACACGCAGCCTTCTGCCTCGTCATGAGCGACGCGACCCTGCCTTCGTTTGCCACACGTGTGGCGAACATGATGAGGCAGAGGCGAACATTAGGCGAACTACAAGTTCGCCACGCATAGTTCTCTGCCTCATCATGAGCAACACCGCCAGTAGTTTCTGCAGTGCTTATCTTGCTGCATTGTAGGCAGCAGACGTTACCTCCTTGTACGTGGGGAATGCTCGTAATTCCTCTATTTCTGACAACATGTTTTATGTCATCACTCTAATGTACATAAGCATCGCGGTTCCTCGTTTCATTCGAGTCCAGCTAGAACCGTCCTGCTTCTTCGTGCCCCAATTCTCTATGTGCAGTTCCTGGTCATGCGCACCTAGCTCGTTCTGGCCATCAGGCGTGGCCAGATGACACTACACATCGGCAAGCGTGAAATGCCAGGCAGCAACAGCGTTGTGGCGTGTGTTGTCTGCTATAGTGACCTAAACATGGCGGCCTGTCTTTGTTCCTTTGCACGACATTAGGGGCACCCTTTTACGCATGGGGTCGATTACCTTGTAGAATGGTTTACGTATATGCAAGTCTTTCTCGAGAAAACGAAGTCCCCGAGCAGTTTCTATTTTAAAGCGGAGCAGTTAAGGGCTAGTTTCCCCAGCTTCGTGTCCATGGCCAAATAAATCTCGACATAACCCTCTGGACAGCTACCACCAGCTATGAGCGACGGCGGCAACTAGACAACCGGCTTGCTGGTTGACGCCGTCGCTCATAGATGGCGGCGTGAAGGAAGAAGAAGGAAGAACAGCTTCTGCTGCTCTTCCTTCTTCACCAAACTAAAAACGTAAAAGTTTTTTTGTTTTTTTTTTCTAATTAAACGGCGAAACGCACAACACAAAAGATGAATGTGACTTTCTGATTAAGTTAAATTGCACTTCTTGTCATTTCTTATGGTGCACTCAATGTCAAGCTCGATAGACAATATATTTCCGCTGTTAGGCAACACATAAGTACGGAGAGTTGTGACAGCACAAGCAACACTGCGAAAACAAATCAAAGTATCAAGCTAAGGCCGGGTTTTTGGTCGAAGGACAACGAACCAATGCTTCGACAGGCGCGCGCGCGGTTCGAGTACAAAGTCATCGAACGCTTCGGCTCTTCAAAAACGTGTGACATTAAACAGAGTGTAACCACATCATAGTAATTCCGACAATGCTTTTTTTTTTTTTTATTACCTTTTTTTTTTTTTTTTTTTTTTTTAATACTATATCAAAACGTGCACACGGCCAGGTGCCTTCGCAGCCCGCTGTCTCGCCGATGACAATCATAAACTGACGCAAGAAAAGCTGCAGGTGTTAGGAATGCTTTCCTCCGGATCGCTCGGCGCAAAAATAAAAAAGAAAGCGTTTCGGTAACGACTCATGGTTATATAAGGACGCAAGCGTTCCCCAAGGAAGCAGCGAGAGATGCGAACTACTCCTCAAGGTCTTTGGGCGATTCAAAACAAACGACGCGGGCGAGGAACGCACTCACAGTTTCCCAAGAGTTGCACTGGGAACAGGGATCGGGCGTCTTTTCCATCGCAGGGGGGCAGGGAAATTTGGAGAGCTAGGAACTCGGGTGCAAGATCTTTCCTGTCATCGTATCCGTTCGATTTTAAAGAGACCCACCACCACCGCACCTCCAACCTTTACACACTTTAATCTTTAATGCTCTGCCCGCTCTGCCTAGGCCTGCTGCGACGCTTGTTTTACTGGAACGTCGCCAGGTGCCACCAGTGTCCGGTAACTTAACTTTTTTCCGTTCCAATCTTCTTTTCTTTTTTATATATAAAAAAAATAGTGGTAGTTGTACACCTATTCTAGTTTATTGAAATTGTGTACTAAATAAAGGCAGCGTGCACGACATAAGCTAGAGAGTCTCAGTAGCTTTTCTTTAGAAAAAGAGGGTATTCGGGCCACTTCTGGCCGCCATGACTTTCGGTTCGGGTTTGTTTGCAGGTTTTTAAAAGACAATATCAGCGTTGTTTCCTGTGTTCTGCAATTAAATCTGTTTTTTATTGCGTGCTCTGCGTCCACTGGACCACTGGCTTCTTGAAGCGCTGTAATGCTTTGCAATTGACTGGGCAACTTTGCTGTGGCAGATCTCGGCGAAATAAAAGTAGCAGCAAGCCACGGCCGTCGAGCGCGAAGTCTGTCAGCCGCGCGTCGATCGCGCGCTCAGCACTAGGGCACATCTGATTCGTCCGGACTGTTAAGATACTTGATCGAGCGAATCATAGACGAATCACCATTTGAGTTCCCAGGCAAATAAAGATTTGCCTGAGAAGCCTAAACGCAGGTTTTCATGACTGTTAGTTCTTACTGCGTAAAATATTTAGTACATAAACTATCTTTTTTTTTTTCTCTCTCTCTCTCTTTATCTTGGAGCAGAATTACTTATTGACGTTTGATTCGTGTGCACGCGAATGCAGCCACCGGACGGCCGTCTATACCCCGCGACAACTTTTCTTGGCAATGCAGTAGAAGGTACGTCCCGCGTCCCCTCTCCCATTTTGAGTGTACGTAGGCTCTCCTCCTCTCCCCGGAAATGGGGGAGGAGGAGAGCCTGCATACTCTAGAAATGGGAGAGGGGACGCGTGCACCGCAGGGAAAAGGCACAACTCGTCGAACACAAATCTTGCCGGTCTCGCGGCGTGATAAAGCTGCCTCGGCACGCCGAAGTGCTACGTCTCTGTGGATGTGCACGTTTGGATACCTGTCAAGAATCAACGTTGTGGCAAAGTTTTGAACGTGTGTTGCGCATAGAGGTCTTCTGGATTGCCCAGCAGTTTCAACACTCCAGATAGCCCAGCTTTTCCAGCAAGTTGCCAGCAGAAGAGGATAATAAATTGGTTGTTGCTATTATGCACGATTAACCATGGCTATGCTCCTAATCTATACTCAAATGAACCACATGACAGCACAAATAGAGCAATGCTGTGGAGGAAGGTAGGTTTTCGAACGCTAAAGTATGAAACGGCGCAATAAAAAGTTTATAAGAGCGGCCCATATGGTCGTGTGCAATCTGTCGCCGTTGTCGTAGCTCCCTACCTCTTTTGTTGCCACTGGATGAAGATCGTTTCTGGACCGCGAGTGTTGCAAGTTCCAAATACAGTTGTAAGAGTAAAGTAAAATGCTAGGCATGGGCAAATAGAGGATTTTGGGTCCGAATCGAATTCGAAGCGAATAGCGATTTTGGCCGAATAATTTCAAATCGAATAGTACAAGCAACAAATACCACATGGTATGTTTAAACTATAGTTTTATATTTGCCCTTATTTGGTATTGGAAGCACTGTAATTGTTAATTTCAAGTGTATTAAGTTCGGGAGCTCGAAATGGTCGGAAGCTTGCGCCACCTGGCCGGAAATCCAAGCCAGAGTAAGTCAAACCCGTTTATATCAAACTCACAAGAAAACGTCTACCAGTTTGATATAGCGGGTAATTCGATATAAACGTTTCAATGAATTTGACTCTCGAAAATCCATTTTCTGCTGAAATATTACACAATGAACTAGTCTTGCATCTTCTACTTTTTTTTTCATTGCATCCGCGATAACATTTTTCTACGCTATCGACGGACTCCAAAATGCCGAGGCCGCTGCCTTCTGTATTCGCGCATGAGCGACGAGTATTCCGAGAGCACGGAGGACGTCCGAGGGGGAGCACCTTCTCCTGAAGAGCGCCGTTTTGCTCTGCAAGTTGACTTTCCCCTACAACAGGGTGAATGCGTTGGGGGAAGACAGCTAGCAGAACAAGCTAGCTTAATTTTTTTTCCCCGGGTCAATTGTTTTGAAGAAAAAAATATTCTCTTTTGGAGACGGAGCGGGAGCATAGAGCACCCTCTCTCCGCTAGCTATATTTTCTCTTCGAATCGACGCGGCCGCCCGAGGGGAAAAAAAAAAAAAAAAAAGCCAGCGTGCTCTGCAAGCTGGTTTTCCCCCAATGCGGCCGCCCATGTTGGGGGAAAGCCAGCTTGCAGAGCAAAACGGCGCTCTTGGCAGTTCGATATATCGGTAGCGGCTGCCATTTTTGATTGTTTTTGCTATATATTATCAGTAAGATTACTGTGCACAAAAATTTCTCGATGTAAGGAATAATTGGATGTAAACGGGTTCGATATAGTCGAATTTGACTGTATCTAGAAAGGTTGAATAATCCTATATTGTCGAATACTTCAATTTGATTCGAAGCGAATACCGAATAGAACAGAATTCGCTTGGCTATTCGTAATAACCGAATATTTGCCCATCCCTATAAAATGCTTATCCAGAGGCACATACATATTCACACACATTGCACTCGTGAAACAAGTCCACACGGTGTCGATTCTTGATCGGTATCCAAGTGTGCGAAGGCAGAGATGCAGCACTAAGGTGTGCCAAGGAAGCTTTGATCATGCCGCGAGACCGGCGAGACTTGAGTTCGACGAGTTGCGCCTTCTTCCTGTGGTGCTGCGCTTTCGTAAAACATTCCATGCGTTTTCAACGGCAAGTATCACGGCTCACACAGCATCTTAAAGAATGTCTTCGGCAAGCGATGACGAACGAGTAGAAAATTTGTCTTTAGCACGCTGCCACGCTAGCAAAACGAAAAATGCGGTGCGGCCACCGCACGCTGCCGTGAGATGGCCGCACTTGGGTGATCCAGCAAATTGTCAGAGATCAGTGGTCATACCTTTGCCAGGTCTGCCAATATGTGCCATCTTTGCGGCTGTGAGCAGCTGGCAAAGCTGCAGCACATGTGGAAGGGCCGATATAAAATGTGACATTTTGCACTGTTAGGATGGGGAACAAAATTTGAACTGCAGCAGGCACATTTGAACAACATGCGATAGGCCATTGCCAGGTAATAAAACTTTGAAAACCGAGTCGCCATTCTATTCCGCAAGTGCAGAAATATGTGATATTTCTTTTTACTTTCATTGCCTGCAAGTTTCAAAAAAAAAAAAAAAGATTCATTTAAATGGTTTGTGAAACAAAAGCACAAGACATGCACTGTATAATAACCCCAAGGTGAAAAAAAAAAGTGTTCTAGTAAAAAAAGTAACTGCAACTTTTCGAAAGTAATGTATAAATGTAATTCACTTCAATACACTACTCTTTCCAATTGCAGTTTACTTTAGAAACAAAAAAGCTGTCGTAAACAAATGACATTTCTAAAATAATCTCCGGACTTATGGCGAGACAATTCCCCCTGCTTAAGATGTGCGAGAACACTAGCGTAATATGCCGAAAGATAGCCTGCCTAATAGCAAAAGCAAATCGGGTGAAAATATGGAGTGGGCTATCTTTCGGTGTGCGGCCAAAAAAAGTAAACAAAATGCTAGTTTTGGATTTTGCGACCTGTAAAACCTGCGTCTGCAGAGAGGGGCAATGAGTCAGACTACTGTTTTTCCCAGTCAGCAACGTTCGCTTATCTTCCTTCGTGGTGAAGCAACACCATTTCTGTCAAGGTCACCATTGGCCAGGGCCCCGTAATTACTAGAAGTGGGCTATCTTTCGGTGCTTCTGAAAGATAGCACATCTTGCCAAAAATAGGGGATTGGTTATCTTTTGGGGGAGGGGCATCTCAGGGAATTACGATAGTACTATTGTTACAACGGCGCGGGCGACTGTCAAACTTTGTATCCAATAATAGAATACCGACATACTGCCACACAATACTTTCAAGCAGGTAACCCGAGAGAATTGTATAAAAAGGCCATCCAGTTGCACAGAGTAGCACAAGTAAAACCTCAGAGCCATCCAGAAATGCTTTGCTCAGTCCTTTTGTGCATGAACCAAACACTAAACGAAATTGCATTTAGTACACTTTTTAATCACTGATGCATACAGACAGTATGCCAAAAATCATGTCCTATTTTAAAAAATATATGATACATGGCATGATGACAACTATTTACACGGATCCGGCAGCACGCACCGCCGTGCGCGATCGTCAGACAAGCTGCTGCTGCTGCCTCGAACGGGGGTGGGATACACACACGCACACTCGCACCAAGCATCTGACGTCCGCAGCATGCACCAAAGGTCTTGCAAAAGGAAAGAACACGACAAATCCTGCCAACTCGCACAAACTCCTTTCTCTTTCTGCAGGCCTGTACATCACTAAACACCTTCTGCGGTACCCTGACGCAGAGCAGAAAGACTACCCACCACTCCTGCAGCCCGAATGCGGGGGCAGGCATGCAGGGGAATCTGTTAGCTCACCAAACGGCTCTAGTCGAAACGCTTTCGTTAGTCAAGCAGATACACACGCACACACAAAGACCTAGTATCTTGGTTTCCCTAAGGCACACTTCAAGCTGCGCACAAACACACTGGTAACATCACAAGAAAACAATCACACACGCCCATCTTGGAAACTGCATTAGTCAAAAAAGAAGGTGTTACTAGCAGGTGGAAGCTTCCGCTAAAGCCATTCTACTTTGTTAACTGTAACTCGGAGCAACAAAAGTCGGCTCCGTGTGGCAAACTGACTTTTAAGTCTACTCACGAATGTGCCTGTAAACTGCGCGATGCCAGAACGTAATAAATGTGACAGACTAGTACTGGCCAGCTACAGCACTGACACGAGCATACCTATAAAAAAAAATATGGATGGTAGCCATTTCTGGGGGGAATGGCACATTGGTGGAACATCTGCTATGCACACAAACATACACGCGAAAAGCACTTTTTTGCAGTTGGGCGAGTTTTAGCAAACCCACCGCGCCGGGTGCAGACCTTTGATGGTTTCCCTTCCTATCGCAGCAATGTTCATTATGTACAAAGAACCCACGAGTTCTTTTAAATGATGCCCACATAAAATGAACTTCCAAACAAAAACGAGGAAACAAAAGTCAACTTGAGCATTCCGACGGTTACACCGCAGCCACAACACTTTGACATGCGCCCTTTCTAAATACGCACTGAAATCTTTCGCCCAGCCGACGCTGCCGGCGTCTCAATACGCCGAAGTGCAAGCCAGAACAAAGAGACAGCCAAAGAATCCATTTACAAAACTGGCTTAAAAAGTCAAGTCGGCTTGCCCAAAATGTTCTAGAAAAATATACGAGACATTGTAAAAAACACACACACACATTAAATAAGCGAAATGAAGAGTGCAGCCACGACCGGGCAGAAGCGGACGAAGCTTTGCAGCTTAATGGTTCGACCGGCTTTCCTCGACATGAAAAGCGGTCGCCCCCACCATCATTACAACATTCGGACAACCATAAATGTACCAACGAGAGAACAGTTAAAAGAGACTAAAAGCCAGAGTTAAAGAAAATACAACAAAACCTTAACAAAGAAATAGAGCCGAAAAGAAGTCATTCCCAGACGCGAAGCAAAGCGCAGGAGAAAGCCCCGAAAGCGAGACCCGAAGTGGCAACGACAAAGTTACCTCGGCCCTGTGTGCCTTGTGAAATGGGCCAACGAGAACGACGAGCTAGAATGTTGTCTCTCATTCAAAGAAACACTACAACATTGCCTCCCAAAAAAAAAGACAGAGGTCACGTAGGAACAGGGCAACAAGTTGCCGAGACCGTTTTGCACGGGGCGATGGGCACGCAATGGACGTAGTCCCGACGCAGAATCGGCGAGAGCAGCCAACAGAACTTGGGAGATGGTGGCACCACAGCCCGCTGCCACTCAGTTGCCCATTTACCATTGCCCGCCTGTTTGTTGTAGCTGTGCGGACTTTCGTTGCCCCCCCCGGAACCAGCCACCATGGGACGGAGCAGATGCGACAAAGGCCAAGAACCCGGCAGAGAGCCGCGCACGTGCACCCCGAATGCTCGTTCCTTTCTCCAACCGTGGGGCGCCGGAAAAGAGTGATGGGTGGGCGGGTCGAGAGACAGACCCGACACGCCCTCAATTCCGGTTCCCGTTGCTTCCCCCGGGGGCAGAGTGGCCGTCCCAGTCGGAGTCGGAAAAGTCCCCGTCGTCTTCGTCGTCGTCCTCGTCGTCCTCTTCCGAGGGGGTGTTGGTGCCAGGGCGCGACGGCATGTCAGACAAAGAAGCCACGCTCGAGTGGCGAGACAGCCGCGCCGTCGTTACAACGGCTTCCTCCATGCCACCTCCCGCCGACGCCACCCGGTCGCTTGAGCTGCAGTTTTTAAAGAGAGAACTTTGTACGGGAACCTTCAACAAACCCTAAATAACAAGGAGAGGATAAAATAGCAACGAGAAGTAATAATGCATCCGAGTGCGTTGGCGTGCCGCGGTCCGGAGCATGTGGAGTGAAAGCTTACACTGCAGAGCCCAGGGACTCCGGTTTTAATCCCCACCCCAGCCCATTTCGATGTAAACAAGCTTCGTACCAGCGCGCGGTCGTGTGCCGCAACTCTGTGACGCACGTTAAAGACCTGGGCTAGCAGTGATGCTGCACTGACTAAATTTCTCGTCTACGGCGCAAACCACCATCGCCCCGCTTCGAAGACCGACCGACAGACCTCGTGCCATCTAAATGCTATTGTCAATTTTTGAGATTTTTAGTGCGAAAGCATTAACTGTCCTATAGAGCAAAACGGCGTCATCAGCTTTTGAAGCCGCGTGCCAAACTGCACCTAAATTCCCCTGTCCCAATGGAGCAATAGTCTGCGGCAGTAATTTGATGGATAGGCTCTTATTGGCTGGTGCACGTCAGTTTCATAGAACAACGCTCCCCCACTGGCTGGCGCACGTCATAGTTTCACGGAACGCCACCCCATGGTGCTTCGGGCCTCGTGCCTACAGCACGCCAGTGAAAGGAACACGGCGGAGCACACTTGGCTGCATCTCTGTCTCTCGACGCTGCCGACAAACATGGCTACGCCTCAAGCATCTACATCGTCAACTGCCGCAACCTCGGCAGTGGCGAAACCTGCCCGTCGACACAAGCACACCACAAACAAACTAAGAGAGCGGAATAAAGCAGCACAACGAGCGAGGAGGCAGGCAGCAACTTCCACCATCGTTGTGAAGACTCCAAATGCGCGGCGGGCGGATCGAGCAGTGGCGCAACGCGCTAGGATACAGAACAAAGACTTTCGAAAGTGTTAAACGAAAGCGGATGATTGCAATTCAAAGCGTCTCAGGTGGCAAAAGGATGAGGCCCTTCAACAACGCGAGGCGAAAGCTATACATCGCAGGTGGCATGCTTTCGCATTCACAACTTGTAAGAAGCGCTAAGATGTCCTGGGACTTTTTTTTTTTTTGAGCACTGAATTTTTTATGTAACTTGAAGAGGCAATTGCAGTACACTTATTGGATACGAGCGCCGTCCTAGCGTTCAATCGTGACTTGTGTCCCCATTGATGAAACACGAGCCTCGGTTGAATGCCGACACATCCAATTGGTACCCCACAATTGCCTCTCCACCCAATATATGATATCCGGCAATCCGGCCTTTGTTGTCCGAGAAGTGTTGTATGGTCACAGCATAGCGAGCAGGGTAGTGGAAGAGTGTGTGAGCAGTAAAGCTGACACTAGGATAGAGATGGAGTATCAACAAACAGAGCTGATGTTAGAAGAGAGAGACGGCAATTGTGTGTGGCTTCAACGCATGGGAGAGCGTGCTGGCAAGAGAGGCGACACGCTCTACCACATCTGACACCCTCTCCCACAGTTTATGTCGTGGCACGAGCGTTCAATGCCTTTATGCAGCTCGGAGTAGAGGTTGGTGGTACGAACTACGCATTAGTAGAATAACCTAGGTACATTATGCGGTGGCATTTCACGGTCGCATTACGTGCCGCATCATTTCGGCTCGGCATTTGCGTGGGACGGGGCTAGAAAGTGAAGCTCTGGTACTTCGTAGTACAATGCACGTAGACATATTCATTCCCTATCGCGCAACAAATAGGACAACTTCCTCGTTGTTCCCTAAACTTAGAAAACCCGCATAAACAGCAGCGGTTCTAAAACTGGGGGAGCCCTATAGGATACCTGGGAAACCCAGGGGTTCTGCAAGCATCCTCTGGGGCACTTTAAGGGGGGACCGCTACCCAGAAAAAAACATTTCTGCAAAAAAAGTTGATTTTGAAAAATGCCATATTTACGTCCACAAACATCTAGAGTGTATTTCCAGAAAGTTTCATTAGTTTAGACTGCATAGTTAATTTCTTATAAATTAATTTCGGTCCACCAATGCTAAAGAAAATTAAAATTTGGAGCACTTTGAATGCCTTTTTCCCCCATTCCACTTTTTGGCATGAATTTCGCTTTAGGAAAACTATCGTTTGGTTATTACGTAAATTGGATTAACTTTTATGAGTTTTTCTGGGATGAAATTTTAAGGGGAAGATAGCCATCGGCTTGTATTTTTTATTTTGTAATTTCTTATGCTCAAGAAGTAAAATTTTGGACAAAGGATGGAAATTGAAAAATAAGTATTCGTGTTTATGTGGCTTTTTCTGTCTTGAAATATGGTATAATACAGAAATATAAGTCCACAGCTATCTACTCTGAACTGTCCTAAAGCAATATAACACACAAACACGACAAATTTATAAATAACTTTAAAACTATAGTTTTCCTACGCAGACACGCCCACTTTCATCTTTGAACACTTGCATTTTTTTTTTGTACTTTGCCCAGGCTAACAAACTTTGGCGGAAATGTTCCCAGCATCAACAGAAACAAGCCCCGTAAATGTCATTCAAATCACACAGGTGGATACAAGCATATAACCCCATTCCCAAGATGCTACATTACGTCCAATACCTTTTGCGCAGTAAGGTGGACTTCTGCATCACTTTACTGCACAAATGCAGAGACTAGGAGGGGCTCTTTGGCTATCGATCGAGAGGCAGGCGTTACTTGAAACAAAGAGATGTCAGAAACTCCCAAACTGCAGGGTATTCTGCAGAAGGGTAGGTATGTGGTCTTTGCCTATATTCAAAGACACCAGGGATGGGCAGTATTTCAAATACAAGTATTTGAAATACGTATTTCAAATACAAGTATTTGAAATACGTATTTCAAATACTTTGTGTTTTTTGCATTTGTATTTAGTTACAAATTGGATAATGTATTTGACGTGTATTTAAATACTAAGACGTGGGTATTTCAAATACAATTGTGATTAAATACAATTTTGTGGGCGAAAATACATCCCTCAAACTTATTGTCACTGTCCAGAGCAGGAAGAAAACTATGTTCTGCACCGAATGCAGTGTCTCTTAATCAAGCACAAGCGTTTAGTGACTGTGATTACGGTGCTAGTCCAGGGCAAGAATAGTGACGAAATCGACGTTCACAGGCAGACTGGCTAAATAAGTGCCTGTGACAACTTGTGATGCTTTCGAGCCTGATTTCCATCCATATTTTTTCCTGGTACATTCTAAATGCGCGGGTCGTCCAGATTTTCGTAACTGGTGCGAGTTGCAACAATAAAGATTTCTCGAGCTAGTGCTGCGCGTCTTGGTCGTCTCGTTTCTTTGTTGGTCTATACCAAAATGTAATTGACAAAAAAAAGCTGCTTGAAGCTCTGTACTTTTTTCACCTATTACGTCCAAGCTGATTACCTTTCTTTTTTTTTGTGATTATATTTCTATTACGTTACTAGAGCCTCGCACACTAACTCCCGAGTGTGCGATGCAAAATTAAAATGAGAAAACCGTTGCAGGTGCCCTGAAGTCGCTGACGCAAATTTTGAGGAATGTATTTGGAAAAGTATTTGGAGGAGACCAAATACATTTGCTTGTATTTGTGTCTTGTACTTAAATGCTTTTTTTGGAAATTTAATTAGATTTGTAATTAAATACATTTTGACCAAGTATTTTGTATTTGTATTTCGATACATATTTGGATGTATTTTGCCCATCCCTGAACGACACAAATAATGACAACCGTAAAATCCCGTAAAGGCACCTGCCCGAAACGAAAAGATAAATGGTGGAAAACATAAGGTGAGCTATCTTTGGGAATGAGAAAGGCTTTTAAAAAAATTAATGTTAAACACAAGGGGCACCTGCTACAAGCCTTGCGATACGGAAACTGATATTGTGGACACGGCAAATTATAGCATTTCACAACGTGAGAAATACTCGGGAATTCGCGGCAATCTCCTGTGTCACGGGAAAGGATGCCGTGGACTGTGGATGCAGCAGATTCGTGCTTCACAGTACGATAAACACGCAGGAGCCAGCTAAACCTATGCGCCACGGGAACCGATATCGCGCTCAAAATTGCAAACAAAATGTGCGGGAACTCGCTACGAACTCGCATGTCACTAGAACCGATATTACATGCGCAGATCGCGGACAAACACGCGGCAAGCCGATGCGAACTTGCTTGTCACACGTACAGGTACTGCAGATTGCGCAGTTGATGCGCTTCCCGTCGGATATCACGTGATGTCCGACGAGGAGTGGGCGAGGTTTCAAAATTTATGTTACGGATATTTGGACCAAAAAAAAATGCGACGGGCAATCTCTTCGGGAAGGGCGCCCTTACGGGATTTTACGGTAAGAGTAGGTGCGGGCTTCTAACAATTGCGTAAGTGGAGACCAATGAGCCCAAGAGGACACTTACTCGCTTTGCGAGAGCTTTGCTTCCGCAGAAACGTCCGCCCCTCCTTGTGCCATCTCTGAGTAAAATGAGGAAAACAAGGAATTGTTAAGAACAGACACAAAGCATATTGCACAAGCAGATATTGTATGAACAGGGAAAGAAAGTATGCCTCACACTCGGAGGCAGACTCAGCATTTTGCCAGCCTAGGCAGCCTTTAACAGTCCCACCCTCCCCTTCTTCTATGGTCAGGGACCATGAGGAGGGGAAGGGGGAGGAGACTAGCTACATCTGCAGTTAAAATTTTCAAAAACAGCTAGACTTAGGACTAGAATTTCCAAAGTAACTAAATTCAGAGCTATATTAAAGAAAAAGATAAAAAGAAGAGTAAATTAGTTTGGGGGAGGCCAGAAATTGGCAGCCCCCAAAAATTCTGCCGCCCTAGGCAGCTGCCTACTCTGCCTGCAAGTCCTCCCCTGTTCACACTGTCGACGATCAAACCATATCCGTCGGGCAAGATGGTGCCCTCAGGGAAGTGAGGACGGGAGAGAGGGTGTACGCGGGCGCAGAGGCACAAGGGAAAAAAAAAAGTCCATCGTATCTTTTAGCCTTCCCTTGGAAGCCCAGGCTGGCAAAGCACAAACCCGAAGGAACAGACGCAAGCAAAGAATGGAAGCGCAACTCACGGACAATGTATGGCTCGAGACTCTTGGGCACCATCCTCTTGGCCTTCTCGAGGTCCTCCGGGGTGCAGGTACCCTTGTCCAGACCAAAGGCCATGCCCATGCGCTTTAGCACCTCGATATCATCGTGGATCTCAAACGTGTTGTCAAAGTTGAACAGGTACTCAGACCTGCAAGACAGGTGAGAGCTCAAAAACGAATCGATCCATCCACCAAACTTAGTCCATTCCTCCGCAAAAAAGAAAAAGAAGGAGTAGTGGCCCAAATGCCCCACTACAACTGCCACCCCGCCACTTCAACACACCCATCTCACTAGCACAGTCGCTGAAAGGTGAGAACGGTGGGAAGGGGATTCGGATGTTCCGCCTCTAGCATGGGCTTCCTACTTTGATAATGATTAAAAAGCGCAACAAGACGACGGACACAGAAGACACAGACACAGCACTGTGTCTTCTTCTGTGTCCGTCGTTTTGTTGCGCTTTTTAATCATTATGAATCACCAACTTGCCCAACTTTCTACTTTCGTCCTAATTTCAACAATGATTCTGCATATCGTAAAGCACCGGGCACATGCTGGAGGCCAGGCATCAGAAAGACACACCCGGCCATTTTCGCTCCATCTGAGACTATGGCCCAAGCTACTTCCGCGTAATCCAGCCCAGCCCTTGACGAAAACGACGGACATAAAAGCAAAAGAGACGGGAGAAGAGAGTGAAAGGGGGGAGCCCCACGCACTTGTCGCTGGAGATGCTGCAGTCTATGACCGTCTGCTTGTTGGTGTTGATGATGATGAAGGGCAGGGGAATGGTCGTGTAGGGCGCGGGGGCCTGCTTCAGCATCTCCAGCATCTTGTTGCGCTCCACCAGGTTCTTGTAGGCGATTTGCTGCGGCGAGAAGGACAGCCTTCGTCGTCACATGGAAGTCTTCACCCCCTTCTTTGCTCCAGGGCGTCCGACCGTTGCCTCCCGGAGGACAAAACTTGCACCTTCAGCCCCTAAACGTCGTCGCCAACGGATCCCTGCAGAGCCTCTTAGCTGGCAAAGGCATCGCCGAGACTCGCGTGTCTGCCACTTCGCGGCAGACTCTCGTCGAGCTGCGACGGGTTTGCCAGTTGGGGCGGTTTTGGGGATCCGCTGACGACGACGTAGCGCGTAGGCCCGGTGCCTTCTAGGTAATATCAGTTTGCCAGCGTCGCAGAAAATCTGTCCGCCCCTTTGGTGTATCCCAAAAGGTGCTCTCAATAACAAGGACATAAGATTTTGTTTAAACTTCGAACACGTTTAAATATAGCCTTCTTCCTCGCACCATTATTGAGTGGAACTCATTTCAACTCTTCGACACTAACTTCACCCGAAGCCTCGAATGACTCACCGTCTTTCATAGTAGCTTCGCTTATTTAATTTGCATATTCATATTACCACTAAATTAAAGGTTGCATACGTCGGCACACTCCTTCAATGTTTGACTGTGTCGCTTTCCTCCGTTTGATGTCGCCCTGTGCTGCCGATTTGTTTCCCGCACGTCATACTGTATGGACGACTGTTTACTAGTTTCTTAACCTTTTTCCACTCAAGGTTTTGTTCTTGTCTCTTTTTTGCAGTCACCTACCTGGACCTTACAAATAAAACTGTGCAGCATTCATAGCCCCACCTGCGCCGCGTCGCGTGACATCGCGGTGTCGCACGACAGACGGGAAAGCGTGTGCTTGTGCGACCTTAAAGACTGGTTCGCGCACTCGCATTTTCTTGGGACCTTGTGCCTTTGAAACCCCTCAGGAGGAGAGAACACGCTGGCACCATCCGAGGCGACCCTGCAGCTCCATTTCACTAGAACGAAGGTTTTGCGGTGTTTGCGAGACCAGATGCGTGCACTAACTATGGGAAATGGCAGTTCAGAACATTGTCAAGTTTTTCAAGCTAAAAACGAAAGAATGGTGTGCGAAAAACAGAAATTATTATTCACACACTGAAAGTGCTTCAAGCCCACCCATAGGTGATGCCAGTGTGCTCTCTCCCCGTACAAGCTAAGGGGTTTAAAGGCACACCCGCACTACTACTTTTTTAGCCTCCTTTTTTTCTCAAGCAGCTGCAGACTGGAACGGCCTTCCCCACCACGTCGCCGCCATCACATGTCCGTCCGTATTCATGGAGACTGTCGTCAACCACCTTCCGACATGAATGTCTGTTAAAAATGCTTTTATGTGTAACCCACCCCTTATGTAATACCCCTAACGGGGTCTTTAAGGTAATAAAATGAAATGAAATGGAAATGAAATGCGGTCCTAAGGAGTCGCAAGTGTCTGAACGCGCCTGAAGGGAAAACCCTGGTCTTACTAAAAAAAGTTATAAAAATTATTTTTTAAGCATCTTTTTCTTATTCGCAAGTCACAAAAACATGTTGCAAGGTGTTCCAAAATTTTTTTTACAGGGCTTATTTTCACTGCAAGAATAAACTATTCGTGGTTGACTGCTCATTCTCTGCCGAAAGGTAGCACTAGAGGTACAAAAAACAACAAACCAATATTTTACTCAAAAGCAGGGGTGAGACAGGTGAAACCGGTTTTGGAGCAATTTCTGGAGCAGAAAATTCTAGATTTCGGAGCAGCTTAGGAGCACAAAATTCTTGTTTTGGAGCAGCAGTCTATGCATTTCGGAGCAACTTCAAAGCACAAAAGACTACAGTTTGGAGCAGATAGAAAACGTTAGAGTAGCTTATCAGCAATTTAAATCATAAAAAATCTGATATAAATTACAGAAATCAGATTTTTCTTTTTAATCGTTATTTTTGTCCACCCTGGTTCCAATAAGTCATCAGCACCAAAATAAAATATATAAAAAAAAAAAGGAGAAGGCAAACGCGAGTTTGTGCGCACAGATGAGGACAAAAAACACAGGCTTGCTGCAAAGTTAGGTGGGCACCAGGCACCTCAAGCTTATACGAACTGGTGCCAAAGCTCAATTGTAGCGCAAAACTTTTGAAAGCTGCGATTCGAGAGCATGAACAAGGAAGCACGATTTACTACAACCAGACATCAAATACACTTGTAGAAAGCATGTGCAGATAGAAAAAAACACCCCACAACAGTGAGTCACAAGGTAAATAGTGAATTGGTAGAAAAACTATGAGCAGTGCATGCACACTAAATATGGGTGTGTGTCTGATTCATTAGATTGCTCACGCACTGGAAGCACGTGAGTGATAAGTACTCACGGCGATGGCGCCGTTCATTTTGACGAGATTAGACACGAATGACCAATTACGCAATGGAGGCGCTCAATAGCACTTTTAAGAAAAAGTTTACTCTCAAAACGAAAGGAATACTTAGGTTTGCTCATCTTGATAGCCTGTGCATCGTACCTCCCGTGGCCATACAGCGAGACCGCGCGACAGCGCATCGTTAGCATGCCTCCACAAATGACAGCGTAAAGTTGTAGGAAAAACGAGAAAAGACCACCTATCATATGCATAGAAGGATACTACAGCTGAAATCTTCGAATCCGGCAGTTGCTTGCGCCACCCTGTGCCCATGCCGTGTACTTTACTACGACATGATTGAATGTTGCCAACCAAGTTATCTTTTCCCGCTAAATCTATTGCCGCCGCAAACTCTTTTTATTCTTTTTTTAAGTCTTCGAGTTAATTTGACGCAGTGTGGCGAAATTTCGACCGATTTCGCGTTTTTGGCACAACTAGGCGCAAAAAATTAGGTTTGTATCAAAATGGCGCAATTGGCGCAGATGTAACACCCCTGCAAACGTTGCAAGTGATTTTGTGTAATTTCAACGGCAAAAATGGGGTACATTTTCATTAGTCTTTGATATCTGGCGCCACAGAGCACGATACATTCGAGAGCGCCGTTAAACTTGAATTTCGCATTGACATTTCCAGAAAATCATTTATACCTTTTGAATACAATATTGGTTAACACTAGAGCTTTATGTCTCCGATTCATACCTCTAGTGCTAACTTTGGGGGGCAAAGAGTCACGTCGATTCAAAGTTTCACATACAGGCTGTTGACAAGCAAATTTCAAAAAGCTTTTACAGTTTTCTTAAAATTCGTGTTTGCGTCGCAACAAACGTTTTCTGCCCACAGAATCTTTTGATCTAAAATTTGGGTCTGAATATTTTTTTTCTGGGGTTTGACACTTCATAAATATCGGAGTGCAAGCAGATTATTGTTTTCGGAAAGTGATGACTGCAAGATTTTCTAATTGGTAAAGGCTTAAACGACTCATTTCTAATTATCAGTCAACAAATTTCAATTTGTGATCGTAACTTTTTTAGAATGATGCTAAAATTATGAAAATAGTTTTGTTGCACACCCTACTGTCTGTGGAACATGATGATACATTTTATGTCATATTTTTTGATGGGGGCATTGTAAAACAGTTTGGCAGAAACACTGTGATAAAATTTACTTTTTCAAAACTACATATATAGAAAAAAAGAAGCTTATGCTTGTACTCAACACAAAAACTTAGAGCAGAGGTGAAAATTTCATGATTTAGATCAGAAATGACGGGGAAATGGACAAGACCAGGGTCTCCTCTCATGTCACTGTGAACGGCAACCCAGAAGCCGAAGGGGGAGGAATACAGAGCCGGACATGTATGGCCGGACCCGGATGAGACTTTCCTCCTTTCACCACATTGTTCGCGCTGCGCCAGCATGTGGTCACGCCGTTGCGGGGGGATGAGTTCTCGCTGCTCACTGATGGCTCTAGAGAGAGAGCTTCACCGGAACCCCGCGTAACCCCCCTTGACATCACAGCGCACGTGACGCGGAAGCTGGTGTACAAGTTGAGAGGTGCCGAAAACCTCAACCTTTGTCAATTTTTAAAATAAAAACTAGGACATGCAGGCAAAAGCGTTTTTTTGTTCTTTACTTCAGAAAGGTCGAGACACCAACTCCCAAATTATTTAAGCACAGCACTGAAACTGTTGCACAGCTCCTTTAAGTTTGAAAGTTCGTAAATCGCAAATTTCTAAATGCAATAAGATTGAAATATTTAAATTTCCAAATATAAGAAGTATGGAAGTTTGAAATAACACAATTTCTAAACACAAAAGTTCGACAAAGCGATAGGTTTCGAGCCTTTCGAACCCTCTAATTTGACCTTCGAACCTTAGGTTCGAAAAAAGCTTGCGGCATCTTTAATCTGCACATATACTTAATTCTATACTACTCGGAGCATGGCACGTAAACTCAATGCTGCACAACCTAAAGGTGACGAAGCTTGAAGGGAGATTAAGGCAAAGTTTACGTTCATGTCTGAACCCTTACCTTGTGCAAGTTCCTAATTAAATAACTAAAAAAGAAGAAACCGAGATATATAGTGATTTAACTTTTCTACCCCTTTTCATTTTTTATTTTTTCCTTTACGTAAAAGAACTACTGCAATCGACATTGTGAAGCTTGGCGCTCATCGATTTTAAAAATCAGTATAAACTTCCCAGTCTAATTAGAGAGAACATGTGCATAGCTTCAAAGCCTCTTCACTGTTTCATGAGCAATAAAACTAGTTTCATCGGATACAAGGCTAAACAAAAAAAAGGGGGGAAAAAGTGCAGCTGTAAACATAATATGGCAGACATCTTATGGCATTGAAAGAGTGGAAGATGTAGAGAAGGAGCCACATAAAGAGAAGCTCATGCACCCACCTGTAGTAGCACATCATAGAGGTGCTGTTTCTTTGCTGATATCCTCTCCAATCGCTTCTGTTTTTCCACCTGCATGCAAGAGGTTTGCAACATCGTCAACTCTCCGAGGGCTGCAGTGTAAGCTTAGAATAGGTAAATACTTTGATAGTCCAAACCCGGTGCATACCTAAGGTCTAAAAATCCCCGGGCACTATACTCCGCGACAACTTTTCTTGGCAATACAGTGGAAGGTACAGGCCCGCGTCCCCTCTCCCATTTGGAGTGTGCGCGGGCTCTCCTCCTCTCCCCGGAAATGGGGGAGAGGAGGAGAGCCTGCGTACACTCAAAATGGGAGAGGGGACGCGGGCCTCTACCTTCCACTGTATTGCCAAGAAAAGTTGTCGTGGAGTATAGGCATGTACAAAATAATGGATTTTTAAATTGAAGCAAATAGTAGCATTGGCCGACTATTTTCTAATCGAATAATGGATGATTTCCTGAAGGGGGGACACTACCCAAAAAAGTGAATGTTTGAACACTTGTCCGATTTAAATGACATTTTATAGGGCTTGTTTTTGTTGACGATGAGGACATTTATGCCAAATTTTGCTAGCCTGGGTGAAGTTCAAAAAAATTTGCAATTGTTTAAAGATGAAAGTGGGTATGTCCGTGTAGGAAAACTATCGTTTTGAAATTACTTGTAAATTTGCAATTTGATGCGTTATGTAGCCTTAGCACAGTTCAGAGCAGATAGCTATAGGGCTATATTTCTATATTATACCACCTTTCATGAAAAAAAAGCCACATAAACACACTTATTTTTTAATTTCCATCCTTTGTGCAAAATTTTAGTTCATGACCATAAAAAATGACAAATAGAAATACAAGCTCAGCTATGTTCCCCTTAAAATTTCACCCCAGAAAAACTCATAAAATAGTTACGTAATAACAAAAAGATAGTTTCCCTAAAGTGAAATTTATGCCAAAAAGTGGAATGGAGAAAAATGTCTTCAAAAAGCTCCTTTAGCATCAGTGGACCAAAATATTTTATAAAATTAACTATGCAGTGGACGGAAAATAAGTAATAAAATTAACTATGCAGTGCAAACTAATGATACTTTCTGGGAATGCTCTCTAAGAGTTGGTGGATGTAATCATGACATTTCTCAAAATCAACTTGTTTTGCATAATTTGTTTTTTCTGGGAAGTGTCCCCCCTTAAGCCTTTCCCTCCTGCATCATGCTTAAATGAAAAGTTTGCATGATGCAGTTGGAATATCACATTAGGTGATGATGCCAGTGTTTTCTTGCACCACATTAGGTGATGATGCACAGTGTTTTCTTGCTTTAATGCAGCAGACGAACCTTAGCTCGAGTAAGCAACCCTATTTTTGTTAGCTCCACGAGGTCAATTATATCTCGCAACCAAAATCGGACCATGGGCACCGCACTAAAAACTCAAAAGCCCCCTCGTGACAGTCCCTCGAGCCAGAGCCCACCTCCAGCTTCTGGCACTCCTGGGCGGAGTTGGTGGGCAGCCCCAGCCAGCGGATCTCCTTCTTCTCCTTGGAGATGATGTTCATGGCCATGAGCACGTTGAGGGCGTCGTACACCCGCCGCCGGATGTTCTTTTGGTCGTACGTCTGGTCCCCGTTGCTGCTGCCCCTTCCGTGGCCCGCCGAGGGGGGCTCCGAGGCGAACTCGGCCACCAGCTCGTCGGCCACCTCGTTGTACGAGGTGGTGCCCTTGCGCTGCACCTTCTCGCACACCTTCATCGAGAAGTGGCGCAGCCCCTTGCCCCCTTTCGAGTCGCCCTTGCACCGGCGCTTCCTGCGGAACACGGGGCGAGGCAAAGGTCAGTTCATGTGTTTGACTAGAGTGAGGACCCTTTAGGGCAGGGGTGCACGACTCAAAAATGATGCGGGCCAAAAAAAAGTTCACTGGGAACTGCACGGGTTTGCAATATCTGGCAGACGGGTTTTCAATATCTGGCATCGCACTGGTTGCCGTCTTGATCACATCTTGCAGTAACATGTCCGCGGGCTGCATGTTGTGCAGCCCTGCTTTAGGGTCTTTCAAGTCCTTCTTAAAGGGGCATTTAAAATGATTCTGCCATCAGCTGTTCTTGATCCTAACCGATTCTACGGGCCCCAACCATCCAAGGAAGGGGTGTGTCCCGACCTTTCATCACATTTTTTAATACAGAAATCGGCGTTGCGCAATTGTAATTTTTGAATCTTGGGAAGAGAATGTCTCATGCGCAGCTAAAAGTGTTTTTCCTTTTATGTGAGTTTGAGGTTTCTTCACAGTTGGTGCACAAGAATTTCTCTTCATAATTTTTTCCTATCACAACCAAATTTGGCATGCATTTACTTTAGGATATTTAGAATGCAACTACCTAGGTTTGGTTAGAATGCATAATTTTTTTTTATATTTTAAGCAACGTGTTAGCTCCTTGAAATGGGATTTTTGCTCTTTAGTTATTTTAAAATAGAAGAAGTGTTGCACAGATTATTTTTGTTGTTCATTGCACTCAGTGGATTCAAAAAAGCAAGTTAGTTTATTTTATTAGTCATTTTTAAGCGGGGACACCGGCCAGAGATTTATCTTCTGAACTACTCAAGTGATCGGAATAAAATTTACAGGGGAGATTTAACATCAGACGAATCTGTATTGTGCAAACTTTCAGCTTCTAGGACAATATGATACACCTGCATAAGAAAATGTGTCACTCTTCCACAAAATATCTATGATATGCAAATGAAGCTATTAAGTACCATTTTGACTGCTTGAATATAAAGTGGGGGATGTGAGACTTTGGGCTACCAGTTTTTATAACTCAAATGTAAATACTTCAGGAAGAGTTGTTACCTAAAAATATGAGATGCATACCTCTCCTATGTCAGTCTTTGAAAAATTTTCTTTGCCTCAATGAGGGCTTTAATTTAAAAAAAAGAAGTAGATAGTTGGATTCCCCAGTATATTTCAGTTTAAAAACACCTTGATTGGGTATCAAAGTACTTTTACATTTGAGACAAAAAAATTTTTCGTGAGAAATTTGCAGCAAAAAGTGGAACTGAGACAAAAGCATTCAAACATTGAACTCCTTTACTTTGTTACTGCCTCACAATGTGTTGAAAATATTTTCTATCAACGTAACTATTTGGCACATGGTTATCAAATTTAGTGCAAGGGTGTATAATTAGTTTCTATACTTCGTTTCAGCTTCGGTCCAGACGCAGCCGATGCTACAAGTGCGAGCATGTGGCCCAGAACAGTGCTTGCACTGTACGAGCACGCGTGCTTGGCAGGGATGCTGAAAGCCCGGAGCTCGCGCTTGTAGCTTTGGTTGCGTCTGGACCGAAGCTGAAACGAAGTATAAAACCGAAAACCTCAAATTTGGAAATTGTAAAAATTCGAAATTTAGGCCCATGTCCCCCTTTAAGTGTGTTGTTACGTCTCATGTGTACACAAAAACACGTCTTTTCTCTGTGTGTACATTGCGTCGAGAACCTAGGAAAGCAAGCTACGTGAAATCTAACACCAGATGTATAAAGAGAAGATCAAGCACCATAAGCTGTAAAGATATCATTCCAACATCTTAAATAATAAAACAGTTTCCCCTGGCGCACGTCTCCTCAAGACTGCTGCATCGAGCTGTTGCTATGGCGACCCTCACGACGAGCCAATGGGGAGGTGGCGCTGTGCAGCACGACACAATGCAGTGAAACGCAGTCAACGCCACTGTGTGAACGAGCCTTTACTCGGCACAAAGGCCATTCATGCCGCCGCACGTCGTGCACTTCTGCTTTGCTGTGCCTCGCCGCACCACTCTCGTTGGCCATTTCCCCCAACTCTGTCAACTTTTTGACGATTTCCCTGACAGTTCCCAGATTTCTCCAGGTGCTTCAACATTCCCTGACAATTCCGGATGGATACGGTAGAAAATCTTTACACCCGTCTGCCGGATCAGCAAGTTGAGCACATTTTCTGCAGCCCATTAAGCGACCCTTTCTGGGCCCAAACTTTTTCGACCCGGCTCCAAAGGGCCCAAGAGAGAGAACAAGAGAAACCGAAGGGCAGCTCACATCTCGGGGTAGTCTGCCTCGGTGAACTCGTGGGGTCGCTTGCTGGACCAACCGGACGACGCTTGGTCGGCCGTCTGCCGGACCTGGCTCGAGCCACGCATCCCACCAAAGAGCGACCGCTGCGCCGTGCTCAGGATCTGCACCCGCAACCACCGTCCCATTTGTATGCCGTGCCTTCAGTGCCGGATAATGCGCAAACTATTAAGGCTAAAACCAAAGCTGTAAAAGTTACCCATCTAAAGCAATCAAGTTACAGTTAGCATGTTTTCCAGACTATAGCACACAGGGGTAAACTTCGGTTTAAAAAAAAAGGTTTTATGCCTTAAAATTTTTTTAGGTAGCTCACCTAAAATCTAAAGAAAATTGGGTGAAAAAAAGGAGTGGGCTAACTTTCGGCGTGCAATCAAAAAAAGTGAAAAAAAAAAATGCCACTTTTAGATTACATGTCTCAGTCAAACTTGTAATAGCGGCGAGGGCAATGAAGCAAAGATGACTATACTTCCCAGTCAGCACTGTGCGCTTATATCCCATCATAGCTAACTAGACATATTTACACCAAGGTCATCATTGATCCAAACACTAGGATTACTAGAAGTGGGCCATCTTTTGGTGTTGCAAAGAAAATAGCAAATCAAGCCAAAAATATGGGTGGGTTACCTTACGCGGATGGGGCATCTCTCGAGATTCTACGGTAGTTTGCACTCTGCGAATTGCACACCATTGGCGAAATACTTCGCACGTAAAAAATTCTACACAGCACACCTTCAGAAATGCCCGAGTTATTAATGCGGTAAGAAGCATTTTTAACTTGTTAAATTAATGGTTACAAAAAATGTAACCAAGTTATGTTGCAGTTACTGGTAACGTATCGCACGAGGAATGGCCATGGCTGCTGCGATTACCAACGCACCACTCCATCCCCAAAAGCACCTGTTCAGACCCGTTCTATTTGACCTGCTACTCACAACAGGATTGGAGGCAGTGGTGTAGACCTCACGACTGAAAATTTCCATGAACAGAACCTCCATGCAATGAGAGCGTAAAAAAGTTTGGTAGGTAACTAACTAAAACGAGTTGCAAGTTACACAAAAATGTAACTGAGTTGCAGCTGCTACATTTTATAGTCACTTGAGAAGCAGTTGGTTACAGAAATGTAACAGCCTCACTGGACACTCCCTAAAGCTGGACAAGCATATTGCTGATGTACTGCATACCTCGTGGGGCACGCACCGTTACCTTCTCGAGGGAGGCTGTACGTGCTTGCAGCGTGCAAGCTGAAGAGGTTTCACTCCACGTTTCAAAATACCAACGGCAGCTGAACAGGTACCTCGGCGACAACTTAGAGGGAGGAGACGAGCTTGAGGGTTTAATTTTCTTGTACGAGGAACTTTTAGCGGGGGTCCTGCAGGTTGGTGCGCATTTGTGAATGGAAAATTGGCTTTCCATTTACAACTCGACCAGTAGGTGGGAGACCCAGAGTTGGAATCCCGGCGTTGAAAGAGATTTTGTCTTTCGGCGGCACTGCAGCTCTAATTCAATGAAAGCAATCCCACTCTACTTACTATACTCCATTTCCAAGTTTAACCACAACCGACGCTACAATTCGACAAAGCCAATTAACGGTTGTCGCCGTACATGTACGGCGGTGATTACACGTCTGAAGGTGCCCACCTAAACGCGAAACTGCACACTCCGCGAGAGGTGTTGCTATTTGCTATGTCTTTGGCAAACTGTAAACATTATATGTGTAAGGCGTTTCACTTTGCTGGGCTATTTATAGTTTACAAATCAGACGCCCCGCGCACGCGAGGCATAGTTCGCACACTGGCCGCTCTGGCGGTGCTCCTCGGAACCACGGAAACTTGCGTATTCCAAATGACATCGCATCACTGTTCCGGTGACTGCCACACGTGGCTGTGAAGCGGGAGGGGGGGAAGTGTTATTTCCTCTGTGGTTACGCAGCGAAATTGCAGTGTTTTGGAGGAAGGTAGCGTGTCTTCTCTCGCATGCACCAAAAGTAAACAAACGATGCAAAAAATACAAGTTACAAATTCATGAAATCGAACGGAGGAAAGGTGATAACCTTTCCTCCGTTTGATTTCGTTATTTTTGTTTTACGTTTAAGCGCCGTACCTGCTCCCGCTAGATAATTAGGAAAAAGACCTGTGCATTGACCATTTCTTTATACTATAACTTTGGAAAGAAAACCCCACCACCAAGAAATGTCTTGGGGGAGAAAAAAACCTGACCATCAGGCAGGACCACGGCACATTGACCGCGTGCGATTGGTCTGGTCGGCAATGGCAAATGCACGAAGGCTACGGGCGCAACGACCATGCACTTTTGGCACTGCGTGATTGGCTCAGTCAGATCGTAGTGCCGGCTGCGGTCGAACTTGAAGTGTCAGCGAAACGGCTGCGATGTTGGATGAATTTGTAACTTGTACTTTTTACATCGTTTACTTTTGGCACATGCGAGAGAAGACACGCTACCTTCCTCCAAAATACTATGATTTCGCTGCGTAACCACAGAGAAAAAAACACTTCCCCCCTCCAGCTCCACAGCCGCGTGTGGCAGTCGCCCGAACAGTGATGCGACATCATTTGGAGAAAGCAAGTTTTCGTAGTGCCATATGTCGTTTGTCAACGGAACCGTTTCCTCTCCGTCGGTTGCCTCCCCGTCTTTCTCGTGGCGAACAGTCTTGTCTCGACCGCTGACCACGACCTTTGACGATGCTAAGAGTGTGTGGTGCTCCATTGTGGCTGAATCATACCTTGAAAAGTTAATGAGTGTCGAGGGAGGGCTGGAGTATAAGGGTGTTCACCTAGGCTAGTTGGCGTTACATCGTGAAGATTAAAACTATAGAATGCATTGTGCTGGGCGTGCCTTCTTTTACTGGTCCTTGTCTTTTTAGCGCTTCTCATCTTCACGAGGGCCGGAGGCTTCAAAGATCAAACCGAATGTCCACCACGTTCGGACCAGGTGACGTCACTGCACACCTCCCACGAAACACTCTGTGACAGTTCATTTTGTAACACTTTCTTTTTATAAAGAAAAGGTAGCATTGCTAGAAATTTTTTTTCTATTTTCTAATCTATAGGCGACATAGACCAATTCCCGGAATAATTTGCCCGAACTTGAGAAATCGTTGCACTGCGCCTTAGAAGTCAAGCAGAGTATAGTGTCACATGTGGAGACCACGCAATAAAGGCAGTCCAACGACGAACAGCGCGAGGTTCCGCACTCCATCAAAACCGACCTACCACGGGCGAGTTTCCCAAAGGTAGCGAGGTCTTGGGCAGGATGGCGTGTTCAGTCTTGAGTGGAGACATCTTGGGAGACGTTATGATGGGCACAGTAACCATGTGGGTGCTCATGGCTGCAGAAAAAGTGCAAGACACGCCCTTAGAAGCGACACGACGACAGACTGCCTTGGCAGACAAGAGGCAGTCACAACAACCAGCAAAACATCAAACTCACCTGCGCTAAAAAAACAACAAAGAACTCCCATATTACAAACTTTTGCCATAGACAACTCGCCGCACAACGGCACAGAACACTAGGTCGAAAGCAGGATGGACAGTGCACACTGGCAGACACGTCATCGACCTTTTAAACGGTTTTCGTAAACCACTGATGCAACACACATTATAAGATGAAGAACCATGAAATCAGAGGTAGCTACTGTTACTCCTGCATGAGGCTTAGCTCCCTCAGGACCTATATGCAAATAAAAGTCCACCAGAGAATGCTTAGAGACCTTCAATCTCAACCTCCCTTAGGCATCGCCACCCCCTCAAGTTCAAGGATCACCAATCAGCTATGAATTGGACCAGGAACCACGTCGCATATCATCTTAACGACGCAGAGCAGTGCCTCAAACGCCGACTTACTCGCAAGAAAACAAAAGGAAAGAAAGTAATGTTGCTGCCACCACGCACAAACTGCGAAGGCAGCCAAACAAATGCTCGACACACACCCACTGAAACCCAAACCACCCCAAAGAATCGACCCTTACGTTACTGGACATCCAGAAGACAGCGAAGCATCGCTACACACAAACACAGAAAGCGAGAAGTAAAGAAATGATCGCCAGGGTGCACAGAAACGCACCAAAATACGCGAAAACGGAGCGGTCCAGCAACGATCCCAACAGCCGGCGGCAAAACGCTACCACGCCACGGACTCCGCAGTCGAGCGCGCCGATTTCGCGAACCGACGGGACGGTCCACGAAACACGTCTGACACTACTAGAGCCTCCGGGTCGCCTACCGACAACAAACACCTAGTATCCCTGTGCATTCTCGTTTTCTTAAAAAGTACGACATACTTCGTTACGGACGCCGCGACAGTCATGCCCGAAAAAAAAACAAAAAAAAACAAGGCGGCAGCAGTGTTGTGCAGTAGGCCCTGCAGTGGCGTTCAAAATAAAACGCAAAAATAGGTCGCCGGCGGATCCACTTCATCGCCCTTTAATCGAACCGCGTTTCCCAATGCTTTCGATACCTCGGGTAGCTGATCCGTTGGCCACAGGACCATCTCGAGCACGTAGTACCAAACGAGCATACGCAAAGAAGCACGCACATCTACGTTCCTTTTTTTGTTTTTTCGTTTTCTCCGCTCCGCAACACCCGTTTGCCGCCAGCCAGCGCGCCAACAATATAGGCGGCGCTATTTCCTAAAACGATCGCTTCTATTTAAATTTGAAACAAAGGACGCGGAGGAACGAGTACTCGTTTCTTCGAAACTATTTTGTCGCACGACAAGAGTGAGATTTTGACGAGCTAACTCGACGCATAATTATGCGAGTCTGACGAACAAGGCGCCAACGCAAGAGTGGTGCTTACCAGAGATCAGTGGTGTCCAAGGATACATTATTACGCAAAAAAAATGTCATTCGCCGGTTAGATCGAATAAAGAAGAGCCCACAGTCAGTTTTTTCAAAACACTTTAAGAGAGATTATTACGATTGCTACCGATTCCCGCAGTTTTCAAAACGAAACGGAAATATTCCATCCACGACCCTAACGATTTCCCAAGCCGAAACAATTTGGAAACATTGTGAGGGCCAGATCAGTGGTAAAAGCACTCCACTCTTTAGAAAAAGAAAAAAATAACCAAGGTAACGTTTTAGTACGTCCGGAATACCGACAACTCAAAACAAACGATGGTTAGTGCAACACGAAAAAGAAAAGAACACGAAAAAAGGCCGCTGTCAGTGAGGGGGATCACGAAGACGCAGCGTGCGCCTAAAAACACCTGGAGATATCAACCAAATTCTCCCTCGAGAAATCCCACGTAGGTGATACGCACCGCACCGGCCGGCTCTGGAAGGCTCCACTTCAACCGTCGCTTCGGCACATATTTCCGCGTCGCTCCGGAAGGAGACAGTGTGTCCGCGGGGTAAATACGAAATAAACACTCACTGACACGCAAAAGTAAGATCAAAATGGGACGGAAAAAAAAGAATTGTCTCCCACCGGCCGGACACACGGACACGCGAAAAAACCACCACACAACTGCGCGAGTCGGCCGTAGAGCCGGCTGGCCCCCCCTCCTGAAGAATTTTGGCGCCAAAAATGAGAGCTGTTAAAAAAAGAAAAGCACCCTCAACCAACGAACCCCATGCATCGCTGAGGACACACCTAAAAATAAAAAAAAATAAAAATAAAAAAACGTAAGCATGCACAAACGCGCGCGCACGATCATTTGTGCTGCAAGCGCAGCGCACAGTTTATCATACACAGTTTGCCCACTGTAGAATAAGCCTGTGGTAATCGCAAACCACGTGATCGAGGGCCTTGTGTGAATGAAAGTACATTGTAGAACTTAGCTTATTACATATTATTCACACAATATAAATTATATTGATAACCAATTAATTCAAAAAGAGCGAAAGTTCCTCAAACAATTATTTAAACTCGTAAAAGCGCCCTCTCACCACGGATGGGGTAACTAACCACATTTTATGTTTCGTTTTTATTGTTTTGCTTTTCAAGATGGCGGCCCCCATGGCATTTTGTTTACCCGCTTCTCTCGTCCGCTTGCGTTGCGTTTTCGCTATATTGTGACGTGCGCACCGCTGGACGACAATCAAAGGTATTTTTTATTCACACAAGAGTTATTTCAAGCAGGCAGATGTTTATTTTCGCTCTACATAGTACAATTTATACGAAAACGTTACAAACAGCACATGCAATGATGCGGCTGCTGACGGGCATTAGCGAGCAGACACGGTAATACAAACAGCTTGAATGTTGGCCTTCAAGCTATGTGCATAAAAAATGATAAACCTAAGATCAACAAACATAGTCTAAACAGGTAGAAGTAAAGTCGCGGTAAAGGTATTTCAAAATAGCTATTAATAAACCATGCAAAAAAAAAAAAAAAAAAAACTGCACAGACGCGCCAGTTTTACATAACGAGTGGGATTACGAACCAGTTGCTTTAACAGTAACTACAGGCTAATGTGGAAAAGAATAAAGCTGTGTTTGAAGGTGCATTTGACCTGCCCATCCTTTTCCCCGCCAAGATGAATGTTCAACACACCTGGGGGGCTATGTTCGACAAATATTTCGTTTCTCCTAAAAGTAACGGAAGTGATCGAAGTGAGGATATTGCATCTGATCGGTTAGAGGCTCAAACGATGGAAGTTCCCTCTTTCGTCATTTGAGCCTCTAACCAATCAGACGCAATATCGTCACTCCCATCTCTTCCGTTTCTTCTCAGGAGAAACAAGACATTTGTCGAACATTGCCCCCCTGGTCAGTTTTCTATGAGATATGTTGGATCTAGCCAGTCAATTTCTTCAACACAATGTTTAGCTGTTAGGTTCGATGACAGCGCGCCTTTACAACCCTCCATCTCCTGATCTGCCTAACGGGGCCTACTGGCCCTTCGATAGAAATATCACCTATCATCGACAAACTGTAAGCACCTAGAATGCCACTTTCTGACTAGCATCACCATCGAACATTGTCGTCCATGGAAGCAACCTCCTGGTTGAGCATTCTTCACTCGTCGGCCTCGCCAACAACCCCACCTAATCCCGTTATTGCTGATCACTGGTGATGTACACCTGCCGGCAATATGAAGGTGAACACCTTACCTGGATTCTTGCCTGTTTTACGGCTCCCTAAAGCTATATTAACTCTTAACGTCTCAAATGGTACCTGGCTTGGGGTCTGAACTTTGCGTTCTAGCCCTCTTCTGGAACAGAGATTGTTCCAAAACTTGCAGGAGCGTCAAAAACAAGAAGAGGGCTGTTCACCTTCATATCGCTCACGGGTGTACCTTCAAACTCCGGCTCACGCCCAACCTGCCCCTGGTGTTCGACAATGTCGCCACTCTCCAATGCAACGTTTGTGATTTCACTAGAAATACGAAGATGTATCTCTCGATTTTGTATCAATGCCTCTCCTCATTATCAACTGAGTGGCTCTGTGTGACGTGCCAGCTCCCACCCCTGGCCAATGAACTCTTTCCATCCCCTAAGCAGCACGGAGCCCCTGCGTACCCCACCATCATCGCCAGATCTACCAAGTAGTTCTCTGACCCGCCTCCGGCGAGCGACAACATCGGCAGCGTTCACCGTTCGCACGACAACTTTGCGTTTGGCATAGTTGTCGTGCGAAAAGTGCGCGATCGGAGTCTACAGCCTCCAATCACGTTTGGTTTTCCAACGTTTGCTTCCTAAAGAACAACCTTCCTGACTTTAAAGCACTGAAGTAATGTTTCCCGAATACAATATTTGCTGTGTGCGAGACATGGCTGGATGCCCGTCTTCGGTGGGTAATTAATGGGCAATTAATCAATCTCACACAGTTCTCTTTATTCCAGCAAGACCGTCCCTCCTTGGGGCGAAGGCGTCCGTCCTCGCCATGCCAAAACACCTGCCCTGCCAACGTTTCGACTACCTCACCCCTCCGGGTCTAGAAGCCATCTTTGTCGAGGTATTTTTCAAACATGGCAAGCTTCTTCTTGTGTCTACCTACTGCCCACCCTCCCTCCGTGAACAATCGTACGCCCTCCTCCAAGAAAGCCTACAGCGCGTCGACCCCAGCAAGTTCTCTGCACTGTTCATCTGATCCACTCGATGACATGCTCTTAGACGTATCGAAAACTGCTGGCCTCACCCAACTTCATGACGCCTCATTCTACATTTCTCGAAACAGTAATGCTACATTCCTCGACCTCGTCCGCACCAATAATCCCACCTTATCCTATCGCTGCACAGTGAAATCCAGCCTACCAGACAGTGATCGCAGTGCTCTCCTCACCAATATTCATTGCTCAGCCCCTAAGCGAGGTCATCAAGCCAAGTTCCAGCAGTTCTAAAAAACCGATTCCCCTCATCTCAATCAGCTCATCCACCTCGCT